CGGACTACTGGTTGAATTCAGAGTTCTCAGAGTTGGTGAGCCATTGCATACTCCTGGCTCTTTTTAATTAAACCTTTATCTCCTCAATGATTTAACTTTTAAAGCAGTCATCATGGAATATTGCCTGTGCTGCAGTCCTTTTCAAAACAGAATTGAAATTCTATCATTGTTCTTACAGTCAACCTTGTTAATGTAAAGCTCAAACAATAAACCTCGATATTAACGTTAAGTAATGATCTAGATCCTTTAAAGTGGCCATAAAAATACTGCACTGGTGATTGAATAAGGGACCTGGTGGTTGATTTTGAGTCATATAATTGAAAGGTTTCTGCTCTTAAAGCCAGTCACAGGAGACTCACTTTGTGACCTTGGAAGTTACGAACTTCTCTGCGAGTCATTGTTTTCCCGGTCAATCACAGGTAGTAGAAATTACTTCTAGGGCTCTTATGAAGATCTATGAATTAAGAAATGCAAAGTGCCTATCATTCCACTGGCCTCCGAGTATGTCTAAGGAGAGGATAAATCTTAAAAGACAAAAAGCAATTGTGAGCATCTAAATATGTGAAATCCTCACTAAAATCTTCCGTGTGAGGATTTAAAACAGAGCAGTATCTTCTCTTTAATCCTCCAGCTCATCCTTTTCTCATCTTCTCCCAACATCAAGGGCCGCATTAGAGAAAAGAAGCCACAGAAGGACAAATTGAGGCTTAAGTTGAAAAAGAGACTGTGGAACCACTTGGGCTTAACAATGAGAGACTAAAATATATTTTGAAGAGACTTTCTTTTTCAACCCTCATTAATAAAGACACATCTTTCTTTCTTTTCTGACTGTCTGCCTGAGTCAAAACCAGATATAAGAACTCCTTGGTAGTCTGTTTGAAGGTGTTCTTTGAGACATATAAGAGAGAGAGACTGGGAAGTAAAGTATAGATGCTGGTTTGGTATCATCAAATAAAAGCTACTGCAGACTTCAAAAGGAATGATCTATCTTTTTCCACTAAATAAGTTGATCTTTCTTAACTGAATATTTTTTCTTTTCTTTTTTTTTAGAAATGGAACCAAAATATACTTCCATTAAAATTTTGGCCACATTGAGAAATATTTTAATGCTATTGTAAGATTTGTAACTGCTTTGCCCGTTTCTAGAAACTACATAATTTTTATCGTATACTGCTCAAACTGAAAAGCTGTAAAAAAAGACGTGACTTCTCCTGTCTTTGTAATAGTTGAAAGTTATACAATACCAGTTTTTCTGTTTGTTCCTTATCAGTGCAATAATACCGCAAGAATTGTATTTGGATGAAGGCCTATGTCTACCCAACAGTTCCAGTCTTGTTTTTGCTAACCTGTCAATTTAAAGAAGTGGCAACAGCTATCTTTCCCACTGGTAAACAGAACAGAATAGCCAGAACGGATGTGTGTTCTCAGGGTGCTGGAATCCTAGTGACAATGCAAAAGTCCGGTGAACACGGGATTGGTGTAGCTGTGGGGCCGACTGGAGGGCATTCAAGGTCCCATCAGTCCTTAAGATTCTTTCTACTGCAGAACTGTGAGGAGCAGAAGCATGCTTCTGCTGATTATCAAGCCAGAGTAACTGGCGTCTTCAGCAGACCAACCCACCTCACATACTATCCCCTGTGAAGGAAGAAGTGGGGGCACTATCTTTCATGCATTAGACTCTGGAAAGTGAGGAGAAGACATCCCAAGGGTGTGTTCCTTTAAAAATTACATTGGCTTGCTCCACCTTTGCTACCTTTGCTCAGGGGAGAAATGGTTCTGCTCTGAAACAAAAGGTGAACATTACCAAAGCCTTGTGAATTTTGCTTCGGTTGATTTAAAGGGCTAATTCCTAAGGACTGACTTCATCCTGCCACTTTAGATCCACTGAAATGTCCTTTAATCAAGTTTTGTATTAATAGCTTTACTGTGCAGGAGGAGTGAAATCAATATATAATTTAGTGGCTTCTCCTGTCAGGGGCATTATCGGTTCTATTACTAATGATTTTGAAACGATATGCCATTATGCAAATTCCATTTGTTTTAGATGTCTTTGCCGGGCACCTACAAAAGTACTTTTTCCTTTTCTTCATCTTTGATTTTCCAGTATCATAGTTACTGAGTACTTCAAAATTTCCTAAGAATTGTGATCCTATGAATAGAGATATACTAGTGATAAATCATAAATGCTTATTTTATATGCAAACAAATTGTGTGGAGCTGTATAACTAGATTTCTCACATTCATCAGCTATCCAAAGTATAGGAAACAGGTCAGGTATGGTGGCTTATGCTTGTAATCCCAGCCCTTTGGGAGGCCAAGACTGGCAGATCGCCTGAGGTCAGGAGTCCCAGACCAGCCTGGCCAACATAGTGAAACCCTATCTCTACTAAAAATGCCAAAATTAGCTGGGTGTGGTGGTGGGTACCTGTAATCCCAGCTACTTGAGAGGCTGAGGCAGGAGAACTGCTTGAACCTGGGAGGTGGAGGTTTCAGTAAGCTGAGATCGCACCATTGCACTCTGGCCTGGGCAACAAGAGTGAAATTCTATCTTAAAAAAAAAAATCCACTAGAGGATTTAAACACTTATGATATTCACCAAGGATTAGAAACAGTATGTTGTTCAGTGGTTTATTTATTTGTGAATAAGTTGCACTGTGAACATGAAACAGGTATCTTTTATACGCATTTGCCCTATTAGCAAGGCCACTTCTTCTAACCCCACTGTGCTTTATTTCTATGATCCAATAAAATATGTGATGAGATGCAGAGCGGTTTGCAAATACAAGATGGAGAAATGTAAGGTCAGACGTTTTTAAGTAATACTAATGAGAATATTGCAACTTGACTCACAGTGAGGGGTTTCAGTTTGATGTACCATACAATGAAGCATCTTGATCACGGACGTTGGACCATCAGGTCCAGAGGACAGTAGCATGGCCCTTTATTGTCCAGCAACACTTTCCTACCCTTGGTCTCACCATTGCTGTTTGTTTTCGTAGAAACGTACAACTAAAGTTTAAGATTACAAGACTGTGAGATGGAAATGAATACCGAAAATGCGTAAGTTTTGTTGACAAAGAGGAGAGACATTGGGCAGTTTTGTGTAGGGTAAATTTGATCTAATTTACAACATCAAATTCAGTTCTAATTAACAAATAATCATCACTCCTTACATCCATCCTCTTGTGCTTTCTCTAATATTTTATATTTTTTGGATATTAGGCAACAATGAAATACTCTAGTGTAGTCACCGCAGGCTAATTTTTATACTAAATAGATTCTAAACAATAGTTCTCAAAGTTAGGAAGGAGCTGTTCACAGCATACATGTAACTGGACATTATCATACTGTTGGTAGTTTTCTAAATATCTAACTACTCTTTAAAAAATGCTTGTGGCTTTAGTCACTTACAGCTGTTCATCCAGTGTTCATATTTCAGTATTTGAGGACAGAGCTGAGATAGAAAAGGCAGTCTCATGACCTGCAGCTTCTCAGGAGTGAGAAATTGGAATGTGAGTATCATTCAGGGATGTTCTTTAGCTGAGAAACAGAGGGTACGTGACTGGGTTTCAGGGAACCAGGACCAATCATTTGGTCTCAGTTCTACAATGCTGAGCCAAAAAGCAAGACTTAAGCATATGGAATTAGGGGCTGGGAAATTCAGAGAATTGAAAGTAACTTCTACCTATGACTCCTTCATATTAGGAAAGAAGACTGATATTCTTTGGCATGCGTAGATCTAATGAAACTTGATGGCTTGGATAAATACAATGAAACAAGATTATAAACCAAATTCCTTTCAGAAGACCTAAAAATCTCCACCAAAATTAAAGAATGGCCATGCTGTTAAAACTCTGTGTCTACAAACACTCATTGTTTCAAAAACATTGATCAGAATTGTTCTTGGCCAATGTTATTGGAAACATTGTTCAAGACAAATCAGTGTTTAAGAGTCTTTTAATAAGTTGTAGTATATGAAGTGTTTAAGTCCTTATTAATTAAAAGGTAACATTAGATTGGTTTATTTTCAGGGTCATCAGGAATGCTCATGGAACGTTGGGATTTGCAAAAATATTTGCATTTGTCCTACCAGTCTGTCAGTCACTCATAGCCATAGGACCATAGGGCAAGAACTGCTAAAGGCTGGATTACAGGAAGAATTCTCATCAAAACACCTCGGTGTATTGGCGATGTTTGAAAGTGGTGTAAATGGTGTGTTTCATGGAAAGTTAAAACTCAACTTTGGGAGAATAAAAATAACTATATCATCATGACTCCCACCTGCTGCCACCCCACTTTCAAAACCGCTGTTGTGAGGCCACAGCTTCCATCTTTAGAAAGACAAACAAAACATGAACAACTTCCTGCTGTGGTCTAGCTGGAGAAACTGACTAACCTGAATAAGAATTTGATTCTAAGACATTGGGTGGGGTGAGATAATTTGACTCTTATTTTCTTTGTGATGTTTTTATTCATTTATTTTAATAACAATTTATGATAAAATATTATGTTTGGAACTATAATAAAGCACAATGAAGGGAAAAAATGGCCTGTAAGCCTATTGCTCAGAGATAACCTCTATTAATATTTTAATGAGATTTTTTTTACTTGTTCTAAAGGAGTGAACTCCAGGGCACAGCTTAGACAATCAACGGTTAAGGCATTTACTAAATTAATATATTTTTCTTTTCTTATTATTATGATCTGTGTTTTTCTGCTTTTCCTTCTTATGATGATGACAGACCTATTAGTATTTAATGCTGTGTTTTAACCTAAAATAATTCTGTGGCCCTGGGCAGGGGAGCTATGCACTGGGTGACCTCTCCGATCTTTCATACCTATCTGATACTCATTCTTGAAGAAAAAACTCACAGTACAGAAGTTTCTCGATTACTGTTTGTCTGAAAGTGCAACTGGTTAACCTTGCTTTCCTCTTCTCTATGTTCCTTCTTTTCTCTTTCCTCTTCCCCTTGTTCGTCAATTTCTATTCTCTGTTTCAGCAAAACAATATCAGTCAAGGTAATTGATGATGAGGAGTATGAGAAAAACAAGACCTTCTTCCTTGAGATTGGAGAGCCCCGCCTCGTGGAGATGAGTGAGAAGAAAGGTGGGGAAGCTGCTCCCGGGCTAAGCCCAACAGCTTCTGCTGGCCTGTGCCACCCCTGGACGCCTGCACTCTTCAGAACATGACTTTCAGTGCACACATCCCTCCACCTATGTAACAGGGCACAGATCTCATGCTGAGCCATGGTGGGCGGGCCTGCAGCGACATCAGCCAGCATTGGTTGCTCTGCACATTAACATCTGAGAGATTAATTTTTGGGGCAGTCAATCAAGCATCCATTTCTGGGAAAGTTGCTGCAGACGCTATGCGATGCCAAAAATGAAGGCAACTTTCTGATTTACCTTCCTATTTTGGGGTACTAAAATGAGCAAAGAAAACTGAATGGGTGCCAGCCGAGAGTACCAAGATGCCCTTTTACATACTTCAGGAGGTCCATGTGCTGCCAGCTCTCCCTCCATAACATCACAGTAACATTCAGCTTGGTGGACACCAAGAGCATGAGCATGTGACTCCAACCATCTGTTTTGCCTTTGTCTTGTGTTCCCACAGGAAGATCATTACCATTAGAATATTTGACCGTGAGGAATATGAGAAAGAGTGCAGTTTCTCCCTTGTGCTTGAGGAACCAAAATGGATAAGAAGAGGAATGAAAGGTGTGAGAGTAAACAAAGACATACCAGCGAGAAATTGTACTCTTCTCTCTCCGTGTCTCCCTACTCTCACACTTAACTCTCTCCTCTTCCTCGGCTTCCAAGTACTATACTTCATTGCCTTTGAAGCTTTAGCAGTTTCATTTCCCTTCCCTAATTCACAAGTGCAACAGGCAATGCCCACTCTCTTCAGGAAATGCCAGCTAACCTTGATTGCAACCAGATTTAATAACACTGGAAGAGATTTTTGCAATTCAGAAATGATTATATAAAATAATGTGTTCAGTTTTCCACTACTCACAGTTTATTCTAAAATGTCACTTCAATTATTAAATCTCCTCTGAAATTTTAGTGATAAAGACTACTTGATACCTTGTCAATCATACCTCAATAAAGCTGGAAAAAAGAAACTGCTTAATACCTGTGAGTATTAGTAAGTGACCCTGATGGCAACTAACAGGAAACTTCAGAATTCAGTAATTAGGCTTTTTTAGAGAACACCATTTAAAAATGTTTAATAAGAACAAAGATCCTTAAAGAGTAGTGTTATCAATATTCTAGTGCTCATTTTAGCATATTTTTATGTCATCAAATACGACATTTAAAAGGCACCGCATATATGAAACCACAGTCATATCAATTTTCTTTGGTCAGAAGAATAGATCCCTTCAGTAAGATGTTAACCCTTCGTGAAGGCCTACCTAACCTTATGATCCAAAATCTCTTGCTCCTTATTGAATTAATCGTTAACATATAGAGTAAAAAGGAAAAATAAGTGCCCTTTATAACTAGACTTTGCTGATTGTACTTACATTTTTAGAAACTATTTGAAGAAACTAATTTTTCTTCCTTAGATATCTATTTTATTAATATATGGCCTATATTTCATAAGAAAGTTACCAATCTTCTACAAGTATCAGCTTTACAGAGGATTTTTCATTCTGCATTGTTAATAGGGCATGATATAATTATCCTCTAATCGTGGCCATTTTAAAAGACCTTCTGTTGATTCGTTATATAAATGAGCAGACCATATATTAATAGCTCTTATTAATTGCATACAAACAATTGGCGAGAGCATTATGATATGATGAGATGGGCCACTTTGTAAGAAATTTATACTCTTACATGTAGAGGGAAAAGTAAAACACAGGACTTACTGCTATGTGGACATATAGGAAAATTTATCCCACATTTTTGAGAATTCATTAGCCTCACAGTTTGTCAGGGAGAAAAACACATAAGCCCCTGTGTTAATCAAGTTCAAGATGGCAACGGGAGCCTTTGGAGTGATGGGAAAAGGAGCACTCAAGATCTGTTTTAATGCAGCCTATTTAATATGCTCCATAGACAGAGGAAAAGGAGACCAGAAAATTGGGCAGATTCCTTACAAAGATGGTATCCAAAGTGCCTCATTAATATACAGGAAAAAGCACTTTTCTAAATGTATTTCTCCAAAGAACTCTCTTTTATCTTAAGGAGGAGCATCTTGGATTCTGCTCTTTCAATTGTCATTTTTGTAAAACACTTCCTCACCTAACAGCAAATTAAAATTCCTTAATAGCACTATGTAGTTTCGCAGTCTCCGGTGGATTCTTGTCACTATAAACAAATTACTGACTTTCTTTAGACGTCTCCTCTAATGCCACTATCATGAGAGAGAAAACTGTGTCCAAAAAAGTAATTACAACATTCCCATCTTCAACTCAGGAAATACTTTGATATATTTAGCGAGTTTCCTTTTAGTAAAATAAAGTGCAACAGTGCATTCTGGGTTTAAAGCACATAGCCTGAAAAACAAACTATATGAATTATTTCCCCCCTGCCCCCGACCCAATGCCCTGTCAGTTTCGTGGGATTATATGTCCACTAGGAGAATTCTGGTTATCTAATAATGTGCAGAAGTCACAGATAAGGACACAAATAGGTGTTAATTCTTGGGACTATTAGGCTTTAAGGATTTTAAGACATAAGCAATTCTTGGTGGACAAAATACCATCCAAATACATTCCAAGACAGTGCTTACCTTGGTCTAAACTCCCCTTCCAGGCAGGGAATGCAAAATGGAATTTTCCAGGATGTTTCACCTGTACTTATTGAATAAAAGGAGTAATGCCTGAGATCCTGGATGATTTAAGACTTCCATTACATGGGATTGACCCAATCCCAGGCAATATTTAATGAGGAAGCTCACTCATATCAAGCTATGAATGAATTTCATACAGTGTTTCTACTTTATTTGGTAATCTAGATTTATATACTAGATACAAACATAGAGAGTAGAAATGGCTTATTCAATGTAAAGAAATTACATATAAGGTGAAATACACACACACACACACACACACACACACACACACACATATATATACCTGTGTGTATATATATACATATATGTTCAATCACACACATTTTCAGAAATTTCAGTTGGGATTGTTTATTCCCAATGTTACATTTCTTTGGGGTATACACATTTTTAGCAGTGGCTCCCTACCACTCTAAATCAGATCTGCCTGGATTTCTTTCTGCTGATATTCCTCTTACTTTCATTATTCATCTGGTCTCTTATTCTGTGTTTGTCTTTGTCTGTTTCCTTCACAGCCCTGTTATTGAATGAGCTTGGTAAGCATTTCATTTCTTGCATTTCCTTTCCATTTTTCTAGATGATTTTCCATTTCTGTCAGGTGATATAGTAGCTCTCGGACTTCTATTTCTCTTGATTTGCTAGCAAGATTGTTGTCCAGGGCCATTGACCTCATTTTGTCAAGGTCAAATTGTCTATATTGCATTTTTAATTTAGTACAACCTTTTTAAAAATCAGTGATTTCTTAGGTATGCAAAAGAATTGGGCATTAAATTCCATAATCTTAAAAGAATGATTAGTGATTCACTCATGAATGTTTTCCTATCCTTAAATGTAAATATAATTTGGCAGGTACGTTGGGTGGGTTGTCGGGCAGTCTGATGTCACTGGTATTTGTTACGTAGAGTGTAAGTGAAATTATAACACTTTTTTGTTTTTTTTTTCTTTTTTAGGTGGCTTCACAATAACAGGTATGAATTTTACAAGTCTAATGCTATCTAATTTTATTTTTACTGTCTGTTCTTACCAGATATTCTTACATTAAAAAAATTTTCTCACTTTTATTTACTTTTAATGAAGGAAAATACCTGTATGGTAAGACTATTTTTTAAATGTTCCTTATTTTCCCCCAAATACCCTTAACAATCAATCCAAATCCACATCTTGTGTAACCTACGTTAATATTTAACTGTGGCACATGGTGTGCTATTGCTGGTTTTACACATTTTACGTTTTACAAATTAATAACGTGTGTGTGTTGTGTTTATAAGCGGCTCATATGGAGAAATTGTAATTGTTCATATTTTGACACTGGTCAATTTACAAATGTTCACATATTGCCAAAAATGTACAGTTCCCTGATAGAGGATCCAAAGAGCACTAGAATAAATAAGACATAATTGCTAGCCTCAGAGAAACACAGGAGCTGACATTCTAAGATAGGTCCATGGTTCAAGCTCAGGATCCTAATAATACATAAATGACATGTTGAGAAAATACATAAAAATACATAATTTTAACACAAAAAAATTATAAATTATGTATTTGTATAATTTATAACAAATAATACTATGTTGAGCACAGTCTTCCCCTCATCCCATCCCACCAATCTGAGCATCTCTCTAGGGACTTAGGTTTTAGTATTAATAACATGGTGACAAGTACTATTTCTGCCACTTGAAGTATACTACAAAATGTTCTATAAAAACTCAAAATGTCAATAAAAGAGTTTAAAACATTTAAATTTAGAGTGGTACTCAGCCTGTGTTCACTGCATTATTTAACACAACTCTAAAGCTATATTCTTGTATACAAAACAAAGATATTTCCTTACAGCCTTCTCTTTTGTCTCTAAATATCTTCTCACCCTTTCAGAGTCATCTGTGCACATTTAGAGAGAGAGATAAATATTTAAACAGCAAGGTTGATTTGTCTGAAGCTGTAGGCTGAAGATGTCTTTAATGGCCTACATCCTATATCACTACGTGACATCTTCCAATATATTGTGCAGATATCAATCAGAGATCTGAACAAAAATATTTAGAAGGAAATAGTCTTCAAATTTCTCATAGTGAAAATACCAAGTCGGGAATTGGGATCAGCTCAATCCACTGTTAGTGTAAACTCATGAACAAGCAGTTCCAATGTGATTGTGTCCAAAGTAGAATTTTCTAAATATGTGCAGTTTCCTGTGGGCAATTTCACATGGGCTGCTGTTGTCCACTGCTTCTCTCAAGACATGGCATTTACTGACAAAATGATTCATAGACTCTCGGAGACACAGAAGTTGAAAGGGATAAAAATGTTAAACAGGACAAGTCTTTGTGTTGGATTTCTTAAATCTGATTCATCTGAAGCTCTTTCAGGTCAGATCGCCCCAATTCTGCATTACTAACGGTTATTTCTTAAATCAACTGCAGCAATTTATACTTATTTTTTTAACACTTTTATCTCTTTTTTTCTCATTCCATCATTTTAACCGCTTGAATTCCCCTTGTAAATACCCTGTCACCCACGGATAAACTAGTTATCCCTGGGAGATTTGAAAGTGTAGAAATTTGGCAAGCCAGTCTTTATGAATGAAGTAATAATGTTTTTAAGTCAACCATTACAGAAATAGTATACTATCCAACAGCACCTTCCAGCCTATAAAGCCTGATAAAGAGACCTTAACTAAGCCAGGTGCAGTGGCTCACGCCTGTAATTCCAGCACTTTGGAAGGCCAAGACAGGTGGATCACAAGGTCAGGAGTTCGAGACCAACATGACCAACATGGTGAAACCCTGTCTCTACTAAAAATACAAAAATTACCCAGTATGGTGGTGCGTGCCTATAATCCCAGCTACTCAGGAGGCTGAGGCAGGAGAAGTGCTTGAACCTGGGAGGCAGGGGGTGCACTGACCTGAAATCGCACCACTGCACTCCAGCCTGGGTGACAGAGCAAGACTCTGTCTCAAAAAAAATAAATAAATAAAGACCTTAACTAAAAATCTGTGGCTACTAGGATGCTCTGTTAAAAAGCACTGAGGTGTTCAGATATCTGTTTTCTCCATTACTGAATATGTTAGGATTTTTGTTTTAAGGCCCTTCTATGTCATTTGAGCCATCGTCTCTGTTAGTATCTCAGTTAATGGGATCCTAGTTTTCTTAGAACTTCCTCACATCAAATTCTATAATGTTCGTCTGGTAATGTCCAACATTTCCTGTGCTGGCCATATCTGGCATCTAAGATGACAGAATCACCTCCTCCAGAGGTATCTATCATTTCACATAGTTAAGTTCTTCCTATGGCTGAAACTTTAATCTGAAACGGCAGTTTTTCTATTGCTATCACCTCTTCCCAAGACTTAAAAGTAATGCTGTTAGAACAAGAGACTGTTCCAGAACTCTGGGAATTTCTGCACTGGCCTGTCCATTCCTACTTTCCTACAAACTCTCTCACTTTGACCCTTCTTCTCCTAAATCAAACCAGAATGCCTAGGATCCACTCTCTACTGATGCCCCTGAGGACAGTTCTAAAACTTAGGTCTACAGCGAAAAGCAGCTTTTAAGCCCTAAAGAACTTTTCTTTGAAGTCATTTGGAGGCTTTGAAGTCCAGGCTTTGAGATGCAGGGCAGTAAGAAGAATTAATCTAGCCCTGGGACTTTGCTTGCAGCTTTTACATGGACTTGTGCAGCTGAGTGTGAAAAATTTAAATTTGAAGCAGGATATATGGAAATTGAAAAAGTCATCTGATCCGCAGCCTAATACCAGTATTTCAGAGATCTCATTCATGGTGGACATTAAGTGTTGGAGGTGCTTTTGGAATCTGCAGATCTTTACCTATTTTTTCCAGACCTTGCCTCAGTGAAAGACCCTTGTTTGGGCCTATAATCTCATTCCCCTTTGACCCAGTCGTATGACAAGATAACACTCCAAATATTATAGCTCTTTAGAGTTTGTAAAGATTTCTTTTTCATTATATCACTTTATCATCAACCTTATGGTGTAAGACGTTATTGTTCTCATATATAGGGGAGGAACTGAAGGTTTAAAGAAATTAATGATGACCTCCCCCACCCCAGCACTGTTCTCTTTCCTCCCCTCTAGCTTCTTTATTTCTACCAGCATCTTGAAATTATACACTGGACCCCTTTTCTACTTAAAACCCAGATCTATCTAATAAGTTCCATCATTATAAATCCCAGTTAAACAAAAAATGAGAAGTACCCCAGAAGGGGGAAACTAGACCATATAAACATGAATAGTTTAATAAATTAAGTATTCTGGCTCAATATGGAGAGAATAATATATGTTAGATCCCCAGAACTTCTAGGACATGCAATTATAGAGTTCTCTAATTAATTAAAATTTATATCAGTCAATATAACTATTTAATATTACTCCTCCAATCATATTGTGCTCATCACATAATACACTTAATAAGACACAAGACTTTTTAAGGAAGCCAAACTATGAAAAATCTGACAGTTTAAAATGTTTTTATCACCTCAGTATGCAGGCGGGAGGAACAAAGCCCCTTTAAATTCAGCTTCGCTTTAGAATGAAGAAGCCTGAGAGTCAGAGAGGAGAAAGACCTTGCCCAAGTTTAGGTGACAAGCATATGGCAGAGGTGGCACTGAATCCCGAATCTCATGATTCCCAGGTCAGTTATGGGTAGCTGTTGGTGGAGGCAACAAGCAAGTGAGTCTGGAAGTCTGCTGAACCAGGAGTTCAATAACAACCCTAGGCCTAGGTTAACCCTAGGTTATCGAAACAGTTGCTGTGATCATGACCTGCCTTTGCAAAACCTGCAAGTGTACATAACATTCTCCCCTTCACTCAGGAAATAAATGTACTAAGCACATTCCCAGATGTCGTGTTACTTGATCCTCAAACAAATCTGTAACATAGACAGAGCAGTTCCTATTATCACCATTTTACATGGGGAGAAACTGGCGAAATGGCCTATTCAAGGCTATATGGTTGGCACGAACAGGCTTCACAACTACAACCCCTGCTCCATGATGCTTCTGGAAGCAGTACCTTGAAGGAACTTGATACACCATTTAAGACACCTGTAAGAATCTGGCTGTACTCACTACCATGGGGCTTGTGGTTTGCTAACATAGTCTGGTTTGACTCATGAAATACTTCCCCATCTCTGAGCAGTGACCTCCATCAGTAACCTCCACCAGAGCTCCCTTCTGTGACCTACTTAGGGGTGACCTGTGACCACTTAATCCCCAAATTAACATTGCTTGTGATGTGTGCATCTGAGTGTGATGTGTAGCTTACTAATTCCACAAATCTCTGATACCAAATCAATGCAATCCATTCTGCTGATTTTTCTGCCTGTCCTTTTGCTAGGCCAACCTGTCTTCAGGAAGGTTCATGCTAGAGAACATCCGATTCCCTCTACTGTAATCACCATTGCAGGTACTCATTTCATCATGATCCTTGAAAACCACAGCCTCCAAGAGTTCTTTAATCTTTGAGACATTAGAGTCATGCATTTTAGCTGCTCTCCTCTTGCTCTAAAACATTGCTAAACACTGCTACAGCTTCTCTGGCAGTCAGTGGTACGGTGGATCACAACAAAACACAACCACGTGGGGGACAGAAAAAGAGCACTGAGGAGGGGGCAGCATCAGTCTGCAGAGAAGAATGATCCTGTGGCCTCTCTCTCCTGAGTTTCAGTGTATTCCAGATTTCTTGCAAATATTTATTCTCACCATCAGTTTTTATCCCAAGTATAATGAAGTTTCTTTCTTTCTTTATTTACTTATTTACTTTGTGATGGGGATTCATCTCTGTCACTCAAGCTGGAGTGCAGTGGTGGAATCAATCACAGCTCACTGCAGCCTCAACCTCCTGGGCTCAAGGGATCCTTGCGCCTCAGCCTCCCGAGTAGCTAGGACTGCAGGCACACACCACCGTGCCCAGCTACTTTTTGTATTTTTTGTAGAGACGAGGTCTCACCATGTGGCCCAGGCTGGTCTGAAATTCCTGGGCAAAAGCTATCTACCCACTTCTGCCTCCCAAAGTGCTAGGATTGCAGGAATGAGTGACCATGCCCAGCCATGCAGTTTTTTTTAAAAAAAGCTGAGCTGTATTTCTTCCCAGAGCCTGCCCTTGCTGCCCCCAGGCAACATGATGTAACCAGAGATGCAAAGATGATAGTACATCTGTGGGGTTTCTCCATAGAGGAAATACAGGATGGCTGGAGGATTACACAGCTATCCCAGATCCATTATAGGTTTAGAGCCCAAATATCATCTCCTTACACGGATCCTCTGGATGATGACAGAGATATTTACTCTTTAGTCATCACTATTGCCCATGCTGGTCATGGCCGTAGAAATGCATCCGCCTGACACAATGAAACTTTTCTTATCCTCATATCCCACACACCTGTTCAATAATTGTGATACCCAGCCCTGACTACAGAGTTGGTCAGAATATTCCTACTGGAAATAAAAGTATCAGACTCTTTAGCCTCTAATCAAAGAGGCCAGCCATGTGCTAAAAATTACAAGAGAGACCGCTGCTTTCTGACTTGTCAGCAAAGCTCTGAGTGGAGGATCAAAATGAAGTGGAGCAAACTTCCCCCACCACTGGCCTTGTACGTTTCTCCAAATTCAACATGGTACAGTTTTAAAATGTGACTGCATTAAAGATTATCAACAGTGTCCCCTGAGGCAGAGATGTTGATAAAGAGACCTTATGGGTTGTGTTGTTTTCCCATTCCTGGCACTTCATCTGTTACACCGATACTGCTTCAAAATGCAGCTGGAACCAGAGAGCATTAGAAACAGCTTTCTGGCCGGATGCAGTGGCTCACGCTTGTAATCCTAGCACTTTGGGAGGCCGAGGCAGATGAGTTACAAGGTCAGGATATAGAGACCTTTCTGGCCAACGTGGTGAAACCCCATCTCTACTAAAAATACAAAAATTAATCAGGCATGGTGGCAGGTACCTGTGATCCCAGTTACCTTGGAGGCTGAGGCAGGGCAATCGCTTAGACCCAGGAGTCAGAAGTTGCAGTGAGCCCAGATTGTACCACTGAAACAGAACAAGACTCCATCTAAAAAAAAAAAAAAAAAAAATTCTCAGAATGCTGCTTCTCCCAGATGCCAGGTACCTATTAGCTTGTATTATTTGCTGTTGTTTGCAAAATCAATTACTCAGGAGAAGGGAGAACCCCCACTGGTGAATCTATCCCAGGATTGTTTTATGTCCTGTCAATATTGATTTTAACAGTGGCTGTTAATTATGTGCTTGATCTTTAAGTTGTTTGGATTGGTTAAGACTATGATGTTGTGTAATTTATTCCCAACTTCTCAATAAAATATGGTGAATTTTAAAGTGTGCATGTACACTCAGGAGGAGAAAGGAAATATATTTTCCATCTCAGAAACAAAACTAAAACCACAGCATGTTATCTCATTCTGCAGAAGAAATGAAACTGACCTCAGCCATGGTGAAATGATCTGCTTTTGATCCAGTGCTCAAAGAGAAAAGGAAACAAACAAAATAGATGATTAAAATTTTAAAAGTGCTATCAAACCATTTCCCTATTCAACAGAAAGTATCTAAAGAGAGAAGAGAGAACAGTTTTGTTAAAAAATAGACCCAGCTCTCGTTTCTGCCAGTCAAAAATCTAGACCATAAATGTGAATTTATCAGTATAACTGTAGAGCAGTAATGGAATCTATACAGCTGCCATTTCTCAGTTACATGTAAATAAAAGTTTATGATACTTAAGTAAAAACAGCCCTGACCCTTCCATGACCCTGTACCATTGTACTGTGACTTCTCTCTGCCTGGAATGAACCTTCTCACTCCACCACCTCCTAGTCATCCTTACCATCACCTTCACCGGGCAATCTTCTGTATGTGCTTCAAGGCCAACTTCAAGTAGCTCCTCTTTCCTGAGGCTTCCTTCCCTGACTCTCTCAGGCCAAGTTAGTTGCTTCCCCCAACCCTGATCCCCTAGTCCTTACCATACCTAGAAGTTGTCCATTATATATTCCTTTCCCCATTACCTCATAAAGTTCCTGAAGGTAGAGCAGGGAAGGGAGGACTCCAGCTGTGCTGACATGGTATGGAGTACAGTGACATGCTCAATGAAAAAATGATCCCTTTTTATGGGCTGAACAACTAAAAGGCGTTATTAACAGTGAGTTGGAGAGTCACACAGCAAATACTTACTGAGCACCTCCTATATTCCATATATTGTAACAGGCGCCAGAGGACGCAAAGATGATTCAGAGCACAATAAGACATACTGTTCTATTTCAGCAAGTTTATATGCTGGGTATCTGTAGGTAAAGGTAACTAGAAATTTAAGAACAGTATATGAAAATGTCTGTGCTTGGTACACACAGCAAATATTAAAGAATTAATACAAGGTTGGAGTGGTAGTTCTTAAATCCCCTCAGTCAGCAATAGGGAGTTATTTCATGCCAGGAGAGGTGGGGTTTTGAAAGATAAGTAAGATTGAACCGAATGGAAACTGTGAAGCTTTTCCAGGTGAATACACAACAGGATAAAAGCGTGGAATTAAGAAATCCAAGTCCATTTGAAGCAAGAGTGTAGCAAATGACAGAAACAAGGTGCTTGCTATTTTTCAGGTTAATATGAAGCTAAGTCAATATTCCCTTAATTTTTGTCATTCCCATACCTCCTTTATAATTTTTGCTTTGGTTGCATACCAAGTATGCTATTTACTTGATGTAATTTTTTAAATTGCCTCATGTTTAAACTTTACTAAGTTTTCTTAAAGACAACTTTAAGAAAAACTAGTATTTGCTGTAAATAGAAAGTGAAATTTAAAAATTTTCACAATGGAAAAAAGTTATTCAGTTCTAGCTGGATAATGGCAAATGCTCTATACTTGAAAACTATTTTGACTGTCTATCTTAAAAGGTACAAATCTAAATATTAGGAACTAGTTACAAACCTAACTGCACCAAATTAAGCATTTCTTCCTGATCAGAAAGACTGAAAGATTTTTGGAAAAGAAAGAACCTTTTCACTCACTGTATGTTTTGACTTCATTAACTTAATCCATGTGCAGTTTTTTAATACCATGATCAAAACCAATCCAATGATGTGAAATGCTGTACTCAGCAATACTACCACATCACCTTTCTTTTGTAATTTCTCTGTTTTTTTCTATATAGATTGCCTTAAGTCCCATTAAAAGCAACTTATCATTTATAAGTAAACCACAAAAAGAAGGCTATAATAAATATTCTCTCCCAGTGGCTTCAGTTTAAACAGATGTCCAAGTTGTAATATTCCTTCTGAGAAAACCATTCTTGTTTTACGTTAAGTCTTCAACTCATCCACGTTCAACCAAAGTTTCAAACCAAGATGCTAACATAAACTACTGCTATGAAAACTACCAGTAACATTAACCTGGATACAAGGATCAGAAAGCAGTAGTAATCAAAATGATTAATATCAGTGATCAATAAATTGCACTTTGTGTATCTCAGCCAACTCTCTTGACTAGACAGACATAATTTTTCAAGGACAAATCTTGGAGATTCCAACCAGAACCCTTTGCCTTCCGTTGGGTCATGACTTCCCAATTCTACTATAAAAAATATTACCACTTTTACAGTTAAAATTAATCTCCTTGCCCCACTCCTTTGCCTCTGCTAACACCCAGCAGCTTCTGGCCAGTCCCAAATCATTAATTTTTAGTCTTCATCTAATTTCTTTGCTGCCCTGCAATCTCTGCGGCTAGCAAAGCAGATTTTAAAATAGGCTTTTAGGAAGACACTATAAAATGTATACTAAAGAATTAATCAATATGCTACATTCTGCTTTTACCTTTTGCTGGTTTTGACATTTGAAATATTAAATGCTGGCAGTGCGTGTAGCCCATTTACTCCCTGCCCTCACAGTGAGCAGCTAGCCTAGGAACCATTCCCTCCAACGTTTGCTAAAGCAACGATGGAGCCACCACAGCGGGTCCCTAGGCAGAGGGAAGGCCATGAGTCTTTGGAATTAATGGGAGGTATGCACTTCTACAGAAGCTAATGGTTAATTGCACCAGGCAGAAAGCCAGGACCAAACATTCTTTTTATTGGATGCCTCTTCAGTCAACAGCCCCTTATTGGAGGCACTTTGTCCCGAAGTCCTAGAAGTGAGGCCATCGGGGCTGAGGTCTTTCCATGTCACTGATATTGTTTCACTGGAGACAGTGTTCATTCTCCTTGACTCTGAGAAGTAGCTTGTCATGTTTCCGCATTCTGGGCCTAAAGGATAAGGGTAATTACAGGACCCGTGTTTGTCCTTATGTGCATGGCCTTTTCGGTCTGGGATTTATCCTAATGACCTTCACACAAAGACACCCAACTGTGAATTTCCCCTCATTAATGGGCTCTTGGATCCATTAACATTTTCTCAGCACCCACTATCCTTTCCTGGACTGTAAGCTATATGGTGGTTCTGGAAATAATCATGCTCACACAGCGAGTGGGTATTTTAACTCCCGAAAGGCCTCACCCCCACCCTCCCTGTTTACTTTAAGATTAACATGGTCAAGGTTTTCCTAACACATTTTGGCTTTGCACCAGATAGAAGCAGCACTGGAGCCCAGGAATCTCATAGAAACATGTAATGGATATTTTGCTGTTTAACTTGCAACAGGGTCTCTTGGCAAGAGAGAGGCTAAAGTCAGAATTTCCTGTTCCCCATCTCTTTGGGCCTCAGGCATTTTCTATTGCCCCTCTAAAGTGGAGAGGAAGAGGCCAGACTCTGCCATCTCTCAAGGTCACTGTAGCACTTTCAATTGTGTTTCCCTTTGGACACATGCTGCAAAATGTATACAAACAGCCGGCTGAGCCAGTGTCAAAGGGAACAGCTGGGTGAGTCCCTTAACAGAGACAATGTAAAGGCAATGTCTGTCTCAGTGACATGCCCCATATACTTTTCCTCAACTGTACTTTTGCATGAGCTTAGACTGTGAGACATTATAATCATTTGCTGTCACAGTGATATGCTGCCTTACATGCCAAGCATCTGTCCGGCTCTCCCCTCCAACATCATGATCTCACCCAGGGTGCTGTAGTAGGTCATTAGGGCTTCCTTCTGCCTTGGCTTTCCTATGGCAGCATCCAGGGATTTCCAGTTGAAACAGAACACAGTGCTCACTCTCTGATACTACCCTTTCACAGATGAATATGATGACAAGCAGCCACTGACCAGCAAAGAAGAAGAGGAGAGGCGCATTGCAGAAATGGGGCGTCCCATCCTGGGAGAGCACACCAAGTTGGAAGTGATCATTGAAGAATCCTACGAATTCAAGGTATGCTCATCAACACTGCCCACCAGGAGCCAGGACCACCTGGGGACCGAAACTGTTCAGAGTGTTGGCTGAAGCTGTAAGATCCATCTGGAAAGAGGGGTAGATGTAATTTCAGGAACTGGCTCATTAGTTGAGAGCCTGTGGAGCCAAAATGGAATTACAGAGTTAGTCAGGAACCAAGGAGTCCTGTCAACCAAGCAGCATCAGAACCAGGGCCCAGCAGGGGGTATCCATCACTGCACAGGTCAGATGTGCCCCCAGGGGAAGGCTTAACTGAGTGGATAGCAAGCAATATGCCAAGATGGATCCTAAGAGATTGCTATGTGTGGAAGAAACCAAGTTCTCTTTGAAAATGCTAATCCATCTGTCAAAGCAAGGCATTCACACTGCTAAAAATTAGGGGGCTTTTGTTTTGGAGGGGGATAGAAATGTCTCCTTGTGGAACATTCCATTGACAAGCTCTCATTTATGTTTAATCATCTTCTTCAGATCCAAGGACATTTTAGTACAGTCAATATACTGAAGTCAATGCCTGCAACCAGAGTTTAGAGTTGAGCTGATAAAATTGGATTCCCAGTTCTCTGGATGCTAAAAGTCATTTTTGCAGAAGTTGAATGTGTGAGCCTTGGGGTGGAGATTAAGACTTTGAAGTGAAATTTCCTGTGGATCTTTAGCTGCTCCCTCTGACCCTGTGTCCCCTCCTGGCCCTTCTCCCTTACGTGGTCCTAGCATCTGGGAAGACCATAAGGAGAGCCGCACCTAAGTTCCGCAGTGAGATATGAAAGGTACATTCCCTCTCTTGCTTTCCAGAATTACAAACCCAGAGCACAGCAGTATTTTACCTGCTTTTCAAAAGCAAACTGTTACTGTTTGAAACACTAGAATGAAGATTACAAAAGACAGAATCAGACCACCAATTTAGAAGTTTCAGATTTTAGCTGGACTTCTCATAATAGTAGCCTCTTTTCCTTTAGCTGAATCCATTAATTATTTTTTAATTTAGTTCACAAATGGAGGTGCCTGACAGGAGACAGGTGGAAAACAAAACGTCTTTGAAATTAAAGTGGAATATTTTTAAGATAAAAATGCAATTAAACTTTTCCCTTCAGGCCACTGACAATCTGTCTGTTAACTCTTCACTCATTTCCACAGAAGGAGGGGGCAGGGGTAAATACTGGAACCAATGCTTTCTAGGCAGACCTGATCATTAGACACCCCCACACACACCCCCGTTGTATGACACAGAACTTGGCTTGTTGCAAAACCATTCCTGGAATAGGCACAGTTCCCTGCAATTCCACAAGTCCAAAAATCTGAGACTGATCCATTTCTGGTGATCAGTCTACGGCTCTCTTCGCCGTATGTCCAACCTCACTCTTCCTCATTCACCCGAATCAGATTGCCTGGTGTCATTTGCTGCAGCTGAGATTCTATGGGTTGGTATTTCTGAAGCAAGCTTGCCCCTGCCCTTTCCTAGAGTTCTCCTGGGAAATTGCGTGTTCTCTCCCTTATGGGATAATCCCCAACTTTCCCTTCCCATGCACTCATGATAGGAAGAGCAATCGTAATAACTTCCTGCTAGAAGCATTAAGTAAAGTAAGGCAGGGCACAGTCTTTCAGGTAGCAAAGCTTTCTTGGGTCCAAGGCCCTTTCTGGTAACCACAATAACGATCTGAGCATTTCAAAGTCCCCCAAGTCTGTTTACAGGAATCTAGTTGTTTGAGGTACTTATCCTTGTGGGACAGCTTCCATGGACTATTTCCTGTCATCTCATCTCCTCAAAGTTCATCAGGATAGTTACCATTAATACCTACAGGGCACATTAGAGGGATGTTTTAGAACTGCTCTCAAGTATCAGTTTTGATTTTATGTTATTTAATAAATTTCTTTTACTAGAACATAGCTATTTCAAAGAACTTACTCAGAGCTCCCAGAACTGTGCTAGAGACCCAAAGCTGGTTGATACCTTACAATGGCCTGCTCTGCTTTACTGAGTTCTTGTTTACCACAGTGTGACTGAGGACCTGGCCTTACTAACGCCCACTGGGGAGGGTGATGTTTTTGCAAGCCCTTGAAAATCTAGTGCAGTGAAAAACTGATCACTGGCATTTAGGAACCCCCCAGGTAGATACAGACAACAGTGTCCGGGCTCAGGTGTCTGAAGTTCAACTTCATCTTTATTCACTCCTGTTTCTCCCAGAGGTCAAGGAAGGACACATGTGCAAATTAAGTCCTAGGAAGAACCCTGGATATGGGGTTAACATGAACTACAGTTTAAAATCTACCCTGGGTTTTACACATAGAAGTTTAGTTTATCTTAAAAGTTTGTTCTTTAGCAGCGATTTCTTGAGTAAAATCTGTGCTCAATGTTAGAGAAATTTATCTGTTCATTTGTTAATTTCCCAGGTGATGGGATACTTCGTCATGGATTCAGCACAGAGTGCCTCTTTAAAGAGAGCTGTCCCGAGTTTCCATTACACTAGGAAAAATTGAAGTCATTTGTTATTACATTCTACAGGGCACTTTGAATTTGTATCACCGAGGATGGTTAGAGTACTTGATGAGATGTGGCTGAGTTGAGGGAGGAAAGACAGATACTGGTCCGGTGCTTTAAATGATGGTGGCCAAGAGCAGTGACTGTTACAGCTGTTATCAGGGGCACCAGCAGTTCTAAACACAAAGCTAGAAGCTGAAAGGTCATCACCCTAAGGACAAAAAATTCTGCCAAGAATAATGTCACAAATACAGAGTAAGCCAGTTGGAGATGGGCCCTCTCATGCTTATTATCTGCTCAATGTTTCAAGTCAGTTCCAATGACTTCTTGAGCAAACATGCTTGATATTAGGATTTGGCTTTGGCCTTTCATACAAGCCCTTTACATAGCATTTTGCCTCCTCTCAGTTAGCTGAAAATGTGCTCTCTCACAAACTATCATCAATTCAGGTACATTGCATTAAACATACACAGAATTTGACCTATGGCAAATAATATGTGTTTTCTGCCTCTTTGCAATTAGTGGAAATTCGAGGCTGCTCTGACAATAAGTGTGGACTTTCGGTAGAATAGTCAATGTGGTAGTTTCTCCGGGAAGAGCAGCCTTAGTGTCTTGGAAATGACCCTTCTCCCTGTAGTTGCCTTGACTTGTGGTCGTTGGGCTGCTCCTGCTGTTACAGGAACTGAACTTAGAAAGCGAGAGAGTGCTAATTGAACAAAACAAAGTGCTTAAAAAGTTCCAGAGAAAAACAAGGGGTATGCAGTACAGGGCCAGTAAAGCAGGGGAGACTGGGACAAGGTAAACTACAGCGTGCCCTAAACCATCAGACTGACCTTGTCTTGTCTTGTCTTATTGTCTGGTCTTGCATGCAATAGGAATAGGGTGAGCATGGAATTCTCTAACAGACAAGAGGCTGACAAACTAGAACCCAGAGAAAAATCCTTTTATGGATGACTATGCAGCAGGCAACCTGGAGATGCCATTATCTGGCTTCATTTCATTGACGAACAAAAAACAGTAACAATAGTTTTTGGTTTCATAATCTGTTTGTCACTTCCAGCTACTCGCAGATACGTAGTGCTGAGCAGGGCATATATTAATCCACTCGCAGATGGAACACTACAGATGAAACCAGTAGAGAAGCAAGTTAGCAAAGCATTCTGGGAATGGATGGGCTTTTGCAGCGTCTGCTATTCTAAACACTGAGGCTATTCTTCATTGGCCATTAGTCAGTGAAGGAGACGTGTATTCGCTACAAAGAAATTTCCATTTCAGAATGTTTCCAACTAGGGAGCATGCTTGTTTGCATAATCATAACACTGTTTGATGTCAATACTGTTGTTCTAAGCCTAACATCTGCTACCCTTTATGTAACTCTGGAGTTTCAAAATCAACAAGTTCTTAGATTTCCTGAGGCCTTAACACACTCAGCACTTATTATATTATTCATTTCAACCTTTCTAGAGTACCGTGGACAAGCTCATTAAGAAGACAAACCTGGCCCTGGTGGTTGGGACAAACAGCTGGAGAGAACAGTTCATTGAAGCTATCACTGTCAGTGCTGGTGAGTGCCTTTCTCTGCGTATTATAAAGTAAAATGGCCCAATCTGAGCTGAGTTTTCCTACTGTGACTACTGGTCTACGGCAAAGCACCAAAGGGCTGCCATGGCAAACTTGAAAGAAAAAATAAGCATGTTTGTTACATATATGTGCATTTTAGAGACTCGAGTAGAGGAAGAAAATGTCTTCAAACGACATTTTTCTCTGGGTATATTGCATCTTTCTGGAAATAGACAAGATCAATTTAAAGTGTTTTGTCTCTCTAATTCACAAATAGCCCATCGCTAGGCTTTGTCTGGAAAATTCCCTGTAAGCATTGCAAAGGTGGGCAAGTGAAGGTCAAGAAGAAAGCAGCAAAATCCTAGGTAGAAAGGGAAGACATTGAGACACTTGACCACTACCATCTGCATCATTTTACACTCTCTTCAACAACATCTAACAAATAAGTGTTTGCATTGGCTCTAGAAATAGAAATAGAATTAATTTCTGTTTCTTCTTGCACAAGCAAAGTGCAGAGTTTTATTTAAGAAGATCCTACAAAATGAAGTGTTTTCAAAGTCAGAGTCAGAAACCTGAGGGAATTAAATGCAGGGAGAAGCATCCTCTTCCTGTTATTGTCAAACTCTGTCCATTCTTTGTGTGACTATGTAACCCTAGAGGAAAGTCCCTCTTATAGATTCATGAAAGCAACACTGTCCTTGGATTCTGTTTTTCTGTTCTTCTGCTCCAAATGTACTTTTTCTCTAAAGATCCCTGCAGGCTCATCTTCTACGTTTGCAACTAATGAACAAAGGTAGAGTTTTCTAAATACCTAGTGACTCCCAACCTGTAAAATTTGGAAACCGTGTCACTAGCAGTTGGGCCATGATTTCTAACCCAACTCCCTCTTACCAGTCTACCACAGGGTAATTTGACACATCTTCCAAGTGCTGTGGGAACAGAGGGTAGTAAAAATGTTATGCCTGTTTATTGTTAGTGCTGTTTATAATATTGCTTTGGTTTCTTGCAATTGAGTGTACACTGGGAATTTATGAACATTAAATTGTGGATAACTTCTCAGAAGAGTAGATTTGGAATTTGCATGTAAGCTCTAAAAGAAGGAGGGGGAAACTCCCTTTTATTTCTTATGTTTTAAGATTAACATGTGAGGCATGAGCTAGATTCCTTCTTCACAGAGAGAAAAGACAAAAATTGCTAGTATAGGAAACTGCTGATGAAGCCAATAGTAGAAAATATTTAAAATGAACACACTTTTATGGGTTTTGACATATCAGAATTGAAACAGTAACAGCATCATAAGCTTGGTAGTAAGCCATTTCTAGGTTTTCTTAGCTGTGGGTATATGAGCATTTGTATCACAACCATAAGCTCATCATCATTCCTTCATTTTTCTATGTCGATTATTGTTCTTGGTGCAAAGCAAATGACAGTGAATGAAACAAATACCCCTGCCCAAGTGGAGCTTACAGTCTAATGGAGGACACGGTAAATCAGACAGATAAATTAAAATAAAGTATATTTATGATGGTAAGTTTGTCATGGAGAAAAGTAAAGCTGTGGTGGGGAATGGGAAATATGTTAAGGGTCTGCAATTTCAGAGAGATAGCTGAGAAAAACCCCTCAGTAGACATATGAAGGCCAAATTTGCTTTTCTGACAGTGGAGTGGTTTATGTTGGTTCATTCACACAGTTGTGTGACTCTCAGGGAAATACTGTATGACCAGTCTGGGGCCATAGAAAGGGCAGCTTTAAACAGTGAGTGGGAGTATGCTGCCAGCAAGGCCAGTGTCATGTATTTGATTCTGGTGAGAACAGATATACAGAGAAGCAACTATAAAGACGTTAATACTGACTTAGCAGAGGTGGATTTTGACTTGCAAACACTTTCATATGTTGTGTTGCATGACATCCTCTTAGTATTATAATTATCTTGATCTTACTGACAAAAAATCTGAGTCTGAGAGGCAACATGGCTTTAGAACATAGCTCAGATCCCAGATCTACTGGAGACTAGTCCAGTTTACTATGTACAGCCCTTTAGAAAAAAGGAAATTCCGAGCGGGTATGGTGGCTCACGCCTGTAATCCAGCAATTTGGGAGGCCAAGGTGGGCGGATCACCTGAGGCTGGGAGTTCAAGACCAGCCTGACCAATGTAGATAAACTCCATCCCTACTAAAAATTAAAAAAAAAATTAGCCTGGTGTGGTGGCGCATGCCTGTAATCTCAGCTACTTGGGGAGGCAGGAGGATTGCTTGAACCTGGAAGGCAGAGCTTGCGGGAGTCAAGATCACGCCATTGCACTCCAGCCTAGGCAATAAGAACGAAACTCTGTAAGAAAAGAAAAAGAAAAAAGAGAGGGGAAGGAAGGAAGGCCGGCCAGCCAAAATGAGGAAAATGGCTCCCTACTCTGTCTCACAGACAGAGAGACTGGCTGTGTCATGTCACTTGTGGCCATGATGTCATCATTTCATGATGGGACTAACTCCTGCCAGATATTTTGAAAAACTGTTAATAATTGAGATGCAAAACCTTTCAAATGTTTTTATATGTCATACAAAATATTGTGCTTCATATTTCTAAATGACTGCTTGGAAATAAGGTACAATTGCTTAGAAATTCGCAAACTGCTGGGTAAATTGACCTTATTTACAATTCTGAGATACAGTGTATCAGAAAAGCAAACCCATGTTTTAAAGCACCAAATTATGCTCAATTACATGAAGGATAGTTTTAAAAGTTCAGTATTTGTCATTACGATTAAATTTAAGTGTCTAAAGAATGTCATATTCTCAGGTTGTTACACGGGCAATAACATTTGTAAAGCAGCATTTATTGAAGTCAGCCTTTCATTGGATTTTAAAATTTCATAGCTAAATAGTTGAGAGTCAGAAAGATTTGCCTTATTACAAATATTAAATTGCTTTTAAAGGGCTCTACTGAGAGGTTTTTTTGCTATGAAATTTTCTGTGCAAAATTGACTCAATAGATCTTGCTAAACAAAAATAATAATTTTGTAAATAGGGGTTTGCTTTTCTTTCTCAGTAACTGTATTCAAACGAGTTTCAAAGCCAACCCTGTGGTAATATTCTTGTCCCTCTGTTTTTTCTGAATCTCACAGCTCAGTTCTTGGGCTTCCTATGACCATAATGATTCTGCAAACCAAGTTCTTTTAATTCCATATTTGAAGAGTTAAAGGATTTATGAGACTGGAGAGATTTGGAAGGGATTAGGCGGAAACATCCTGGCAGTTCTCCTTCTGTTTCTTCCTGGTTTGAACACTAGGTGCAGTGGATGCTGCAGCTCAGTGGCTGTCAAAAGCTTGCAAGGCAAGTCCAGTAACACGAGGTGCTGTTAAGATGTGCCAGCATATGCCCTTTTCAATGAAGCCAGCATTCACTGACCCGTTTGGATTTTTCTCAAATGTCTCTCCTTCTATCAGGGCAGAATGGTCGGTTGACTTTTAGAAATCATGTACCAGCTGAGATATCCAGGGAAACAAGTGTGTCAGAGAAGAGGGCAAACGTTAGCTGGGTAAAGGGAACCAGGTGCCAATGCCAGTTCCACAACCACCACATTGTTCTTCACAATAGTTTTCGGCAGCGTTGAGGCGAAGTTGAGAATAATTGCAAGGCTGGCTTTGGAGACAGATGTGGTTTTGTGTCCCTGCACTCCAGAAACTCCGTGATGACTCTAGGAAGATTATTACACTTCAAGATCTCAGTTTGCTTACATGTCAGAATCTGTTTGCTCATATGTAAAGTAGAGATAACTGAACTTCATTCACAGAGCTGCCATAGGATTAATTAAAATAGTGTGCGTTTTCACAAAGGCAATCTGTACATGTAAATACCAAAGTTGGTTGTTTGGGAGGCAAATCTATTAAAGATCCTATAAAATATGACCAAATTTTGTGCAATTGCGGTAAATTCAATTTAATTACTAAAATGGCTGTGGGACTGAAAACGCACTGGTTCACTTCTTTCATGGTATTATGCATACCATTTTATAGATACGAACACTGAGATTCAGAAAAACAATGTAACTACTTGCTCAAGAAGCAAAACTGTTAAGGGGCAGTCCCAGGAAACAAATCAGCACAAAATTCTCTCCAGTATGAAGGGCGCGCTTGCTTGCTGTGCATGAGGTTTGAGAGCACACACAAACACACATGTAGACACATATACACACAGGTACATAGAGACATGTATGCATTGTGCAAACACGTAAACACAGACACACATATGAATACATACAAATCAGGTATGCACATATACAAACGTAGGCACACGCATGTACAAAGACACATATGCCCAAAACATGCACACATTGACATGCACATGCACATTATATAGTAGGTACTTGTTTGGATATTGGAGCTGCAGCTTGAAATAGAAAGGTGTTTTTTTTCCTTAATATTTTTTAAAGTTACAGTCTGGTGCGTAAGTTCCTTGGGGAGAATACCAGTCAATTCCCTAAAGAACAAAGGGAAGAATTTGTTTTCCTAGGTGCACCCATAGGCTTCTCCTGCCTAGAAATTTGAGACATTCTTTGAAGTCAACACATTCCTCTGTCTTTTACTTAATATTGAATATCCAGCATTAAAGAGTTTCCTGAAATTGTTTTACTTTTGATATATTCATTTGCATATCAGACATAGTATCTATTGGAATCTTTATAATGAAAGAACCCTCCAAAGTGACCCAAAAAAACCTCCAGCAGTCTTGGTTCTGTCTCTTATCAACTGTATAACCTTGGCAAAGAATTTAACATTTCTGATTTTTGGTTTCATCATCAAGAAAAGGAGACAGTTGGACTAATGCCATCCAATATGGAAATGTGGGAGCTCTGTCAATGGCCATTAGAGTCCTACAGTAGCCCTGACAGGACTTCATGGCCCACCTGATTTTGACAATGGAAAAGCATACCTCACCCATCCCCTGGCTTGCCTAAATTAAATATTCGGCACAATAGCCGCATACACTTCACTTCTATTTTCTAGAAGG